GGAAGGAAGAGGTTGTATCTTCCTGAAATTTCAGAGAAAAAATAATTAATAAATAATATAATAAATAAAAAACAATATGAAGAAAAAAAAAGTTACCATTCATTCCAATCAAAATAACTTGTCTTCCTTTGGAAAATGTTGTTTGACCGGTGGAGCAGTCGCAGCAGGGAGCAACAATTGGTAACAGGCAATCTAGGAGAGCAGAATTTTAGTAGTGTCACTGAAAGCAAACAGTCACCAACAGTAAGGGTGTTGTTTCTATCAAACAAAACATTATCCAGCATGTCTGTAGGAGTAAACCAGGGCTTCTGTAAAATGTAAAACAGTCTATATAATGTAAAAATACCTTTCTCCTGATATGAGAACTTCCCTCCTTCATGCTGCTGGACAAAAGTGGATGGTGGCAGGTGTTTGAAGAACCCCTCCACCGTGGATGCTCTGTTATGCAGCACCAAGGTCTCGTGTGTGGAAAGATCACAGGCTGTGCAGTACAGTGATCGGGGTAAACAGTCCCTACACATCACAACTGCGGCCTTGTGCCCACACTGATGGCAAACCCCCTCCTTGGGCTTCTCAGATGACAACATATTGTTCACCATGAAGGGCCTCATCACTGTCCAATTCTGCAGAGAGGAAGTTTGCCTGTTCCTCCAGTGTGAGGGGAGAGGTTGTTCAGCACCACTTCCCAAGAGGTCTTGGACATCTTGAAGGAGGGAGTCTGTATTAAAAGAGAAGGCCATGGTAAGTCTGGGCAATTACCACATAACAAATAAGGAAACAAGTATTAAAGGAGACAAAACCTAAATTGGTGGTTGCGGTTTCTCCAGTTGTATCAGTAGATGGAGCACAGGAGGGAGTTACGCTTACTGGGGACACTGCAAAAGTATGAATAACTATTTAAAACTTGATCAATGAAGAATGAATACAACTACTGATGAAAAAACAATAACCAACCAGTGACTGAAGCACGTTTTCTCTTCTCTCCAGCTCTACATCTTTTTGGCAGAGATTGACCTTCTTTGTTCTCGTCCAACCAAACAAACGACTTTGTTGATTTTTTTGAGCGTCCTTTTGTTTGTACATGCTGATCTACCTAAATAAACAATTGAGCCACAGAACAAACAACAACAACACAAGGTTATTATTGTCATTTATAAATATTGCATTATATCCACCTTATTCCTGAACTAACATTTGTTCAAGTGTTTATGCGATCTACTTCCTGTGAGATAGCGGAAACAGCACTTAGCCATTGCCATTGACAGTGTAAACTGTTGTTTCTACTGGCAGCTTGTTGTAACATTTCAACAACAGNCGGGCCGAGGGCTCCTGCAATTGCAAATGCGGTATTTCCCCCACAAACCACCAGGGAGAATACCTTTGTTCAACCTGAAATGACTCATTTAATCATCCAAAACGTTATGGAACACATTAATTAACTGAAAAATGTTGCATAGTGTGCCTTTAATATTATCAGCGTTCTGATGGCATTTTAGCCAAAAACGTCATTAATGTGCACAAATAAGGAATAGTTGTATTAACCATACATGGAAACAGAGTTTTATGTGGTAAACCCCCACCCCCCTTCACCCACAAAGGATGGATTATGTAAACGTCCACCTGCTGTCCAGAAACAGCTATCAGACATCATGGATGCAAAGCCTGGAGATTCTGTTGGAATATTTAAGATTCTTCTGCCAATCTTCATCCAGAGCTCGGGGATCATGATCCTCCCTCTGGACAGACTTTTGCACCTGAATGTCATGCAGACAGAAAATGCAACCTAGACAGCAGGAGGTTGCTGCTCCTCTGAGGGCAACTAGTTGGAAATGACTGTCAACATGTTGCTTCCTTTAAAAACTGCAGAAATAATCTACAGTAGATCTCCTGGTTCACTCATGGCTGTTCTTCTTCCGTCTTGTTTCTATCTCCCATCTGAACTTTAAAGTTTGTTCTTAGAATCTCCTGTCCTCACTCGCTGTAGAACTAGATTCAATAGATGTGTTTTCTCCACTTCACAACCTGTTGCTCCTGACTTTCTTCTTCTCTTGTTTCTCTTCAGGGAAGCTGACCGACACGGCCTCCTCCTCCTCTTCCTCGCGGTCAGAGAGCCCCCAGCTGCTCAGTCCTAAAGAAGGGATCACCGCCTACAGCCACGCTCCACATTATGCCCCCGCCTACGCCGTGCACATGCCCACACACGCCTTCAGGTAGGTGGAGTGAAACCCTTTCTGGGTTGATTACTGCTGGCTGAAGATGCTTTCTGTTTGTCACTCTGCATGCCAGCACGTCTGCCCTCTGGTGGCGGATCTGGGCATTAATTATTGCCTCATCTTATACCAGCAGAGGAATCAAAGTACAAATACTTTCTTACCTTAAGTAGAAGTGTCGGCTCTCTATAATTCACTGGAGTCGTTACTTTTTTGACAACTTTTTCCTTCTACCCCTACATTTAAAAATAGACTCATTAGTTTAGTTTCATTTAAGCTCATTTTCATTCTGGTCTGTTGGTGTTTAAAAAATGAAAACCATCAAAATAATTAGTTTCATTCAGACAATTAATTTCTCTGTGGTTGGACTCGGTGCTGCCCCAACCTGTTGCTCACCACAAACCAAAATAAATAGTTTTTCCAGATGATGATGCATTATAAAACTAGGAAAATGAAGTCTAAGGAAGTTTTCATCCAGAATGGTAGAAAATGTTCCTTTAATAGGGGAGAGCAGTAAAGCTTCTGGCATTAACAGTTTTTACTGCATTACTTTTTTTTTTTCCATCAATATTTTTATTATTTTCAACCATTATACATACCGTATAAACAAATACAAGAACCATACCAAAAATATGCTTTTTATCATATCAACCAGATTTCCAAGCTGGTGTTACTTAATTGTCCTCGTCGTCTTCAGATAAGTCCATACCTTCCACAAAAGTCATAAAGGGTCCCCATATATTTTCGAATAGGTCACCTTTTTTACTTTTAGGAGATGGGTTATACGTTCCAAAGTTGTCAACATTTGTCTGACCCAGTGCCTGATAGTTGATGCTGCCGATTTCTTCCAGAAAAGTGCAATTAGACGTTTAGATTATAACAGACATATATCGATCAATAACTGTTCACATTTGGTATATTTAATATTTTTGGGATATAAACCCAGAATAAAAAAACAGGATCCAGAGGAATTTCTTTTGAAACAAGTTGTTCTATAGTTTATTTTACTTCTCTCCAAAAAGTCCTAATTGCCCTGCCTTCCCAGAAGCAATGAAACAATGCACCCTTTTCGTCAGAGCATTTTTTGCATGTGTCTGGTATATTAAAATTATACCTGTTTAATTTAACTGGTGTAACATAAACTCGCATTAACCACTTATACTGTAGAAGCCTTAAGCGTGAATTAATTGTTTGTTTATGAGCCTTAGTGCAGACAGACTGCCACTCCTCCGCTGACAAATTTATCCCTAAATCCTCCTTACATGCTTCTAATTTTAGAACTGAATTTTCTAATGAATTTGAACTTATTAATTTATAAAATTCTGAAATTGCACCTTTGCTTGAGCTATCTTTGCAGGCCATTTCTTCTAAATTGGATTTTGGTGGTTGGGTTATATCATTACTTTGTTTTGTCCTGATATAACTTCTAAGTTGAAGATATTTAAAAAAAGTATTTTCTATGTATGTTAAATTTTTGCCTGAGTGCTTCAAATGACATCATATAAATTGAACCTGCTGGATACAAATCCTGGACTTATTCCATTAAGAGCCCACTGCATTACTTTTACTTTTCAAAATGGTACTTTTAGACTTTTACTGAAGTAAAAAGCTGAAGCTGATCCTCTTAACTTCTACAAAAGTGTTTTTAAACAGCAGGATTTATACTGCAGGAATAAACATTAATACTGTTGACATGAGGAGCCAAATAGGTCTAAAACTGCAGAAATCATTTCTTTATTCTGAAAATAAAGTTTTAATTTGGGCTCTGGGAAAATACTAAGCAGTTTTAGGTCAACGTTTTAAAGAAACAAGTTAAATTTGATCCATCAAGGATCAAAATCCTCCATTTATTCTCACTCCTGAGTGTGGATTCATTTAGCGGCCTAAAAATCGGTCCAAGTGTCTCCGAGCTGCATGGAAGCTGCAGCCAAACTAAAAATAGAGAAAAGCATCTTCAGCAGTTTTGAAGCAGCGGATGGATGAAGATTAAGCTGACTTGGAGCTCACGGTTTAATCTCTGTCATCCCGCCGTCTCTTCCTCTCTTCCCACAGCGACAGCGTCATTCAGTTGATATGTGTTGCCAAGGGAACAGGCCTGGGACTCGTCGTCAAGGGTGGAGCCAACAGACCCGAAGGACCAATGGTGTTCATTCAGGAAATAGTGCCTGGAGGAGACTGCCAGAAGGTCAGAGGAGGAGGAGGAGGAGGAGGAGGAGATTGTGTTTAATGTCTGAAATA